GCAAAAAAGGCAGCTTCCTCTAAATAAGAGATGATAGGCTAAATTAATTACATATCTCTGTATTAACTTTAGGCAGTGTATTTAAGGATGACTAGTTTGAGCTCAGTACATTCCTGAACAGAAAACCTTAAAACACACATACATACTGAGATTGGGACCAGACATTTCAACTGCATTGAAATTGTCTGTGAGCAGTGGCACACAAAGACAAGGCCCTTAGGAAGGAAAGAAGCTGCAGTGAGAGAAAAGCAAGCTGCTTGAGAAAACCCTGCAAAGGTTAAAAAGGCAGCAGAAACTATTAGTAGAGTTTATGTGAGATAGAAGGCTCCAGGTGAGATCAAACCATGCCCAATTCCTGTGCTAGCAGAGGTCTCAGTACCTCAGTAAGAGCAATGAAAACATTCAGAACTAAAGAAAAGCAGAATCAGCTAGCAAAGGTAAGAGAGGATTTGTAGTATTTTTTCCCAATTAAATTCGAATCTCATTCCTTCTGGCTTCTTCTAAAGATGTTGCAAGTTTTATCACCCACAAAGTGGAGCCTTCTGGCCAAGCAGGGCTTCACCCCACGCTTTAAAATCACCTTACGTGGCAGGGCGGCACAACAGTGACATGAGCTGTCTCAAAGGAAGAGATTATTAAAACCACACACCTACACAAACACTGCTGGTGACAGTGTTTCAAGGCATTTATTTTGGAGTAGTGTGTGGGACTGACTTCTTGAAAAAATTCTCAAAAAAGTATAAGGCGGAAACAAGAACCAAAAGCAAAACAGCTTTTAAGCTAAGGAAATTGTTGTAAGCTTTCAATGTTTTACTTTGAAAATCCTACAGCCTTCAGCGAAATCCTTGGAAAATCTCTTTGTGTTTATGAAATAGCATTTGATATCACAACCTAAAAACCTACAAACCAGTGCAACCAACCCTTTCTTAACTCTCTAAGGGCAAATAACACCTGCATTTCCCATGCAACGGCTAGTAAAGAAATGCTGACTCTTGGTAATTTTAACTGCAGACTAAAATAACACCTTAGTGAAAAACAGTAGATTAAGTATTATTTTAGAGTTTCAATGTTGCCCCATCAACCTGAGCCATAACAGGAGCAAAACAATCAGTGCACAAACTAACACAAGAGCTCCACGGATGTAGAAAAACACAAGAGCTTATCTGCTTCAACAAGTTCTTTCATCACATATCCAAAACGATAATTTTATGTATGTTATGTTGTGCTTGTTATGTATACCTGAGACTATTTAAATAATTTATTTGATTACATATGTAAGCAAAACAAAAAATATTTCCATAACAGGATTTTGTTTTTACATGTCAAGTCTACAGAAGTTAATTTCTGTACTTAATGCTATAATGTTAAAATCCAGCATGATAACATATTGTCTGAGATCACTGTTTCGTCTGTGTCAGAGAATACTACACCTTCAGAATTGTAAATTAGCATAGTAATATGACTTTTGTTAAGAGGAAAAAATATGTTTTCATAGTTCTTATCCCAAACTCTTGCTTTAAATTTGTGATCAACTTCGATCATTTCTCAAGGCAGAGAAATACAAAAGCCCTAAAAGTTCTTTTTTAAGGCTAGAGCCCTAAAAGCTCTGGAGCGTTATAATTTGCTGAGATAATTTACCAAGAGATAAGGTTGTGTGGGGATGGAGGAGGGGGGAAAAGGGGCTGAATAGCTTGCAGCATGAAGAGAGGACAAATCAAGAGAAATTGTTTGAGATATTGCAGAGTGACTTACCAAGCTCTCTGATCAGCCCTGAAGTTAGTATTTAGGACTGACAGAATCTCAAAGTACTTTAAATATTTCCACTGAGACTCCTATGTATTTGTATCAATTAAAGTTTACACATGAAAGATTAAGCCAAAAAGGCTGGCTTAGTTATAGATGTCTGCCTAATAATTTGATTAGCATGAGATTACCAAAACAGAGTCAAAGCAAAAGAACCACCTAGACCTATGAAGCAGAACTGAAAGACTTGTTGCTTTATACATCTGCTTCTCCAGCAACTGCATCTACTGAGTAAAATATTCCTGCAATAAGTTACAAGAAAAATCAGTGTTCGCGGGCCTTGAGAAAAAAACCCAGTTTGTTCCAATAATAAATCACATGGTCCTTAATAATAATGTTTAAGTGTTTGAAGAAAAAAACAGTTTATAAAGAGTTTATAAGAAAGATGGTCACTGGAATTAAAATTAAAGCTAATAATACATAAACATAGGTATAAACCCTCAAAGCAACAGGTTTACAGGAAATCCAGAAAGTTAACTAATGGCAGAACTTAGAGACATGGGATGACAAAGAGGAAAAGTCCTTGACTAAAGAAATTGTTTTAAAAGCAACAACGACCTTGCAAGAATTCTTCTAACATTTAAGATCCTCATACCCTGATTAGGAGCACAGAGACAGGTTTTCAGAGGGGGCCACAAGGAGACAAGTTAATAACCCAGTTTCAAATCACCCTGCAAGACTTACTGAGCTCAGAGAAATTCTGCCCACACAGAGTTGAAAGGTTTAGTATGTAAGAGCTGCCTTCTGACGGCACAGGGAGATTACCTCTCTCTTATCAACTCCAGAGCGAACTCTAGCTCTCACAGCAACGATCTTTTACAGAAGATTGCTCGGCAGCAAGCAGGATAAATGTGATTGCAGCACATTTTAGATTCTCAGCGTCAGGAAGTGAATATGAAATTTAAAAAGCACCTATTACTCTTTATCTGTGTAAATCATTCTGCTAAGTGGCGATATAAATAAAATTACTTGTACAATCTCGCTACTATCTTCTCTTTAAATGTATATACATGGTTTCTTTCCCCTTACATTTTCTGGGTTAAATTAGCAGAAGAGGAGTGTGATAAATTGAAGCTGAACTATAAATGGGTGTTTTGGAAGGGGGAAAAGGTTTCCGCTTGTTCTAAATGTGTAAACTTTTAAAAATATTGCAATTTTAAATCCTGGAAAAGTGCCATCCAATATTCACAACTGGCAGACAGCGCTTATTACCTTTTTTATATGCTATTACAAAACTTTTTGATTTTAAACATTAGCCTGACTATTCCTAAGAGTCTCCAATTAAAGATGTAACAATAGGAGACTACAGCCATTTCTTTTGCATGCCATAAGTTCATTATTTCTATTTCCTGTTTCACTTAAGTGTTTCTTTTAAAGTTCTGAAACTTTGATGATCTCCACAGTTGAAACCAAACATAAATCCCATACAAGCTAATGGGACAAAGAAAACCCCCAAGTCTATCGACAGCAGTAGATACCACTTCTTCCCAAGCCATATATAATTAAAAATCCCTGGTTAGTTATCATAAAAACAGGCTCCTTACCATAATCTGTAAAGCACAGTCAGGTCCAAGTTGTTTTGTTCAACCACCACACCAACTGTTCCTTCTTTTTAGTGACTTATTTAAAAAAAAGAAAAAGACTCACTTTGCCAGTTATAGCTGGGGGAAAAACTCCCAAGAGCTTTCAGGCTTCATTAATTAGGGCCATCAGAACTGTACTTCATTTAAGCAGGACAAAACAGTGCAATCAAGAGTTATGTCCCAGGCTGTAGCTATCTGCCCCTCTCTCATTCTCTTCTTCTTTCTCTCACCATCTCTTTCAGTAAATGAGACTAATTTTTCCAGCAGCCTTTAGCTCCCTAGATTAACTGAAGTGGAAAATGTGACTACAAACTCATAGCACTGTCTAGCCTCCAATCCAGCACAGAATCAACTTTGTTGTAAGTGTTGAAGGACACCTAGCAAGCTGCTACTTGCTAAGTTCATAACCCAGAAGTGTTCATTCGCACACAACAGGACTGCGCCATCTAGTCAGCTGCCAGCAGCAGGCTTTGGGAGCAGATGCCTCGGGATGCAGGGCTTTAGCCCTTGGGAATGTTCAGTTTCTTACAGATTCAATTGTGGTGCGGGGTTTTTTTAATAAAATATCACTACTGAGATAATCCACATCTAGTTGATATGGGAAAATTTAGGCTATAATAGCGCAGTAAACTTCTACATCTATCTTTGATTTACAAGATAAAAGCAACTTTTAAATTAAAGAGCCTTTCTGCTAGTAGAGCTTATTATGCCAGAGACAGGAATGATTTTCCTAGAAAGTTGTCCCTGTGTGCATGCCTATTATCTTTGCTTTCCCCCTTCCACTAATGAGCATTTATCTAAAGAGCCTGTTAATCCTCTGATGTGTGCTACTGGTCAGAGGTAACAGTTTGAATAAAACCACTAATCACTTATCACTAATCACTGATCATTAATCACACTTTTCCCTAGTGCTTTGCGACCTGTACAGCTCCCTTTAGGATTAAGGAGTCACAAATAAGGAGTTTAGCCATTTTTTATTAAGAATTTCCAGCTTTTGATACCGACAACCTCATTCGCCACATGAAAGTTACAAAACACTGAGAGGGGACTTTCACCAATGTACACTTTTATACTGAAAATAAACAGTACCTTTAGGGAAGCATACCTCCTTCAGCAAAATTCCCACAAATTACCCTGCGTTTTTGCATTCAGCTCTTACTTTCAATCTCTAAATTTTCTTTCAGTCCAGTCTCTGGATTATCACTGCATATATCTTACAAGAAAGTTTTCCTACACCACTGTTCCTTGACGCACTGCTGCTTGTCCAAATGGCCAGACAAGGAAAGTCTGGTGCACACCAGCGGGTGAATCTTTCTCTAACAACTGCAGTCTCAAGAAAAGCCCAAGTAAGATGCTCCACAGTAATTATTATTCTTCTGTTCAAGCTTCAATTTCATCTAGCTAAGCACTGTTTCTTACTGATAATATATGGAAATCTTCTAATCTTGCTGCTTAAGTCACTTCTCATATCGGTCTGGATTTAAAAAAAAAAGAAAAAAAGAAAAACCAAACAACATATGGACATTTCCCTTTTCCTACCCCCATCTCTGAAACTACCTCTCTCTTTCCAATTATAAAGCTTATATTGAGCCCTGGAGATGAAGGATCACTCACCATGCTCGGACATAAATAATAGAGGAGGCAGAGTTTAGCAAGTATTCCCCTTACACTCCTGCAGCTCTTATCGTCCTGAAAACTTCGCTGGGGAGAGAGAGACCCCTGTAAGAGAGGACAGTAGCGGGGGGACGCGGAGCTGGGGCCGGGGGGAATGATCAGCGGAGTAGAGGGGCTGTTAAGGGAGAGGAAGGCTGCAGAGAGGGGACCTTGTCAACACTCGCCCCCTCCCCGCACCCGAGGGCATCAGAAGCGGAGCATCAGCCCCGCACCGGCCCGCAGCATGACGTAAGGGCCGGCAGCAGCCCGGCACCCGGGGTGTCTCACGGGGAAAGCGGCCGCGCACCGCTCGGCGCACCGCTCCGCGGCCACCGCCGGCTGCTCCCGGCTCGCTGGGAGGCACGGCCGCCGCCGCGAAACTTAGCGAGAAGTTTTGGGGGCGGCGGGGAGAGAGGATGGCGGGGCAGCGCGCCGCCGAGCTGTCACCGCCGGGTGCCGCCGGGTTACGCTGAGGCTGGAGCCGTCCAGCCCGCCGTGGGCGCGGGGACTCCGCGGTGGCTCCGCCGGGAGCTGCCCACCCGCTCGCTCCGCTCGGGGCAGCACCAGCGGGGCGCTGCTTGCGCTCCGCGGCAGCCGCCCCATCTCATCCCATCCCATCCCGTCCCGGGAAGCAGCGCGCAGACTTCCCAAACTCCCTGAAGTGCGGACAGGGAGTCCGGCTTCCCCGCGTCTCGGCGACCGTGCGCTCCCGCCCCCGCCGCTCTGCCCTGCCCTACCCTCCGCGGGACGCGGGGTCGCTCACGCCCCTCTCCCCGAGCACGGCGGGGACGCGGGAGCGGCGGGACCCCGCGCCCGCGACGGAGACCGGCGCTGCCGCCTCCGGAGGAGATGCGGTGGCGGAGGAAAGAGCCCCTGCAGCCGCAGGCTGCCCCTTCCCCAGCGCGCACCCGGCGCTGCAGCGCTCGGCTCCGTGCGGGGTGCGCTGCGGGGTGCGCCGCGCGCCGCGCCGGGCGCCTTCCCGGGGCAGCCCCGTATTTTTAGGAACTTACCGCCCGGCGCGGCGGGGACGGGACCGGCAGCGCGGCCGGAGGAACCACGTTGGACTGAGGGACGGTTACAATACGTTCTATTTAGAGAAGCATTACATCACCCTCCGTGACGTCACGTGGGATTCCTGAACTTCTAAATCATTGCGGTCCGTGCCGGGCGGGGGGGGCCGGGAGCGCGGGGCGGGGGCGCGGCCTCGGGCGGTCCCGCCCCCGCCGGGTGCGGGGCGGAGCGGGGGTGAGTCAGCCTGGAAGCGGCGGCCCGCCCCCCGCGTCCCGGGCAGCCGCGGGCTCCGGCAGCGATGCCCGGGCGGGGGCTGCCAGGGGAAAGCGGTCTCCTCCTGGCCGTGCCGAGCTCCGGCAGGCGCGGAGCCTCTGCTGAGTGACAGCCGCACGGGAGGCCCGCGCTCAGCTGGGACTCGCGTCCTGCAGCCCCGAACTCTTTCGGGGTTTGTTTGCTTGAGTTTCTTTATCTAGAAAATGTTTAAGGAGTAACGCGGTGCCCGAGAAGCGAGGGAAATCTGCGTCTCGAGCTGCAGCCCTGCAAGGGTGCACCGCTGTGCACCTGCCCAGGTGTGCCCGGAGTCCGCCTGGCAGGGTTTGGTGCCGCGGCGGAACCCCGGCGGCGCTGGAGCAGCGCAGTCACAAAGAATCTTAATTGATATAATAGAGTGTCTCATTGCTTTTTGAACATTTCTGCATCTAGTTGGCAGTGTCTCTGAGTCGTCGTCCGGGACGCTTGCCGGTGACAAAGTTATTGTTCCACCCGGTTCCACCCCGTAACTACTTCAGTGCCTTATTTCCCCCTTTTTTTTTTTTTTTTTTTTTTTTTTTTTTTTTTTTACTCTCAGCCCAATGCTCCTCAGAAGTGCCTCTAGTACCTGGGTCTGGAGGTTCCTTTGGCACCTTACTCCACACTGCAGTTATCTAGGAGGGATTTGTATCAAAGATACACGATTGAACTGGATTTAGCAGCTGATTCATGCCAGGAGGTATGACTTAATTCTGATGCAGTGTTTTAGCACCTAAGCCTGGAATGTCTCATGAGGAAAGCTCAGTGTTTTGAGGGTCTCAGCATCTGCAATGGCTTGCTCAGTTTGGTTTTTCTCCGATATTCCATTAAGAGAGGAGAGAGTAATACAACACGTACTGCCAAAATCGGGAACTACTTTACAAATGGCAATAATACAGCACTTTACTCCTAATAATACCATTATTTTGCAGGTTTATATTAGGCTAATTATCATCTTCAGCTTTTAACAATTCACTGGCACTTTATGCAGGATTTAGGCAGATAGAAGCAAATCCTATCGGTGACTGATGATAGGTTTTGAACTCATTTAACTCCTTAGGATAAAGCTCAATGATACTGTCACTGTAAGACTTCATTTTGTCAGGTATTATCTTTGGAATTGCATATCAAGTACAAAGTGCCTTACCTCTAAACGTCCTGGAATTATAAAGTACACAGATGACTAAATTAATAATTGCAGCTATTTCTGTCTCACAGGAAGGGTTTTAGCATACACAAACACAGCAGTTTTTAAGGCCATTACAAAAAGATTTAAGCGCAGGAAACAGCTCTGCATCTCTCATTTAGGTTTCATCGTACAATTTATGTACTCACACTTCTCACAGACATGCAGCTGGCACTGTGGCTGATCGATGGGTTTTCGTGGGATTGCAATGAGGTTTTTCTCCAGTTTTCTCAATGAGACTGAACTGTAAATGGCAATGGAGAACTCAGGTGCCAGTCAAGCACAACAGGGCCCAAATCCGCCAGCAACTTCTGTAGTAAGACTCAGTTATGGCAAAAAAAGATCCTAAAGGCAAGATGAACAGGACCACCACTTTATTCAGATCAATAGCTTTACCTGCCACATATATATTTGGACAGATCTCTACCACTTGAAGAGACAGGCAGCTTGTGGCTGCAGTTTGTGTGTGTCTGCCCTACAGAGGGTAGTGACAAATGCTTTGACAGGTGGTTACCTTGGTTTTCGCTGACAGCGGAGCCAGAGAGGTTTTGGGTTCCTGATATGAGTCTCAGGGCCCGAGGAAAGACTCTTGAAATGAGTTGCAGTCCTGGGGGGGAGAATGAGTTCAGAATAATGTCAACGGTTTCTCTGAGGTTGAAATCTGTTGCAATATGTGTCACATATTATTGCTTTCCTCCATGCCCAACTTCTGTTTCACTTGCCACCCTCAGATTCTGTTTCTCTCCTCCCTCTTCCACCTCTTTACTTCTCTATTTCCATTTTTCTTTTGCCTGTTACCAACCTTCTCTCTGTTCTATGGCGACCACTCTGATCTCTGAATGGGGATATGAAAAGGAGCACTGAGATGCAGCTTTGTTTTGTTCTATGCTCACTTTAATCCCTGGTGTTTGAGCGGTTCACAGAGAAGAAAATGTGTCAATGCCTTCAGCCTGAGAACACTGAGCAGAGAAGGGACATTGAGAAAATGTAATTGCCAAGTTCTTTCTTGATTTAAACTGTGGGATGTTGATAGTAAAAGAGATGCTCCTCTGCCTGCAAAGTTGCTGCTTTCAAGTCGAGCTGATGTCTGCTTGCGTGCTGTCACTGTGAAGAACAACTCTTTAATATGAACTCCTCTAAAGGTGGTTTGAATTAGCATATTCCACTCGGCAAATGAGGAATGTAGGCAGAGTCAGTTACCGCAGCTCAGCTGACAAGCCGTAACTTGAGAACATGCTCTATATGGGGGACAAATTTGAGCAAATCTTAGAAGCTAATCAAAGGCACCTCCTGGAACAGCAAAATGATCATTCTGCAGAACTTCAGGTTCCTGTTCCAAAAGCACTATATGTTAAAAATAAAAAACGAACAAACCGAAACAAAACACCACCAAACAAAAAACACGAACTTGTGAAATGCGGGTTAATGTTAGGCAAGGAGACTTCCTTTTTATGAAATATTGTTCAGCAGTGATTGAACTGTGGAAGCAGTTTTCCAAAATACTCCTGCCTAGGGCAGGAAAGCTCCATCCTGAATGGTTCAAAACTTGGCAATGTTTTTAAGAGATTGAAGAAACTTGTAATGAAAAGTACTGAGCAATCAACTCCATGAGGCACTACCTGTTCTTTCATAAACTAATTTAAAGGTACAAAGTCATACACTGCTTTTCTATTTTTATACTCAGGCTTTTATAAAGCTGCTTTCTTCTTATGGCAAAATCTTAACTTATATACTTTTCTGTATCGTATGTTCTAACAAATGTTTAACATATAGGTCTTTGTCAGTTTTAGTCTGTAAGTGTAAAATCCGAAAATAACACACTCTTTACAACAGTAGTTTAATGGGTATTAAAAGTACTGAGACATTTGAAGTGATATGAGTTAGAATGACATTTTGTTTGACTGATAGTAAATGACAGTAGTGCTGTTTCAGCAAACACCTAAAATCTTTGTCATATCATTAAAATCATTGGGAAGTAAAGATATTAAAATAATGATAGGAGTTTTGTACGTCAAATATCAGTCTCAGCAAGTCACTATTGCTGTCACATAAAATGAATATTTACTGCTGGTAGAGTTGAATATTTTACATACCCATTCTTCCTATAACATCATTAACCACGTATTTAACTAAGCTGCTGCCAGTGTTGAGCGTTACTCTCAGCTCTGGCACTTGCAATTATCTTGTTACAAGAACTTTGCAGCAATATCTTTTAGTCTAATCGAACAGTAATTTATTCACATCCTTATGTGCTACTAAAACTTCAGATCTCCCCATTTATCATGTGAAACTATCCACAAAAAAAGTAATACAGCACTAGTTACACAGAAGTGAAGCCTAAGAAATAAAATGGTAAGGGGAAAAATTGATTTCTAGATCTTAACATATACTTTAATCCATGGTGACAGTAAAATGCATTTTAAAAGGAGGTACAAATTATGCTATTTAATATATAATAATCCTAGTGATATCCTGAACAAATGTAATTCTGGTGTTTTTATGAAAGTCTTGATTTCTTAATTATTACATCTCTGTTCAGATCTCACCTCTCCTTATTTTAGTAACAGACTGAACAGGATATCAGTGAAGGGAACCAAGTATTCTCTATGGTTTCAGGAGCTTACTAGGAAGTACCAGATTAGTCTTAAAGCTGAGACAGAAACTGGTGAATAAGTAGAGTTAACCAGAAGTTAAGTAGTATCAAACTTTTTTTTTTTCAAGTTCTGTTAGCTGAAATGTAAATGGTATGCACTGTTCCTGTTCAACTGTATCATTTCTCAAGTGGACTGGAGAGGAAAGGAAGTGTGATACATTGCAGGGATGTGAAACAGTCCTGCGGGATGCCAAGCAAGTCACATCTGCATTTCTGTGCTCTATGTACATCTCCTCACCCATTCATCTGGTCTTGCTTTTTCTTAATGACATTGGTGTTTTAAGCAGGTGACAAAAATAGGGAGCCAGGTCTTAGTAGGAGTACAGGTAAAGCAGGAAAATATTTTGCAGGGGGAAGTTCCTACATAAATCAGTAATAGGGATTTACGTGAGAGCACGTTTTGTCCCCTAACAGTACTAATTGCCACAGTACTATGCCCTCTGGAAATGAAGATGCCTAGCAGTACCTCCTGCTTTTTACAAGGTTATGTGAGTACTGAAGATGGATCTAAGAGGGCATTCATGTTCTCTTTGCTAGAGAACATATTTATCTGCAAAGTGACTTGAAGTTGGATGAGCCAAGCAGGAGCTCT